TGATCGCCCTGAGGCACCCGAGCCTCCTGACCGGAGAGAGAGCCTCCATACCGGAGGAGCTGAGGAGGAGACGGTGAGGCTGCAGAGCGGGGGTTAAACGGAGGATGAAGAAGAGGAGCTTTAAACTCTTCATCCCTGCAGTCATCGAGCAGATACCGGACTCCAACGTCACCATTCCCGGCTTCCAGACGGTTCGAGCCGACAGGGACACCACCGGGACCGGCATGAAGAAAGGAGGGGGACTGTCCGTGCTCATCAACAACAGCTGGTGTAACAACGGGCACTCTGTGTGGAAGAGAGTCTGCAGCCCGGACATCGTCCGTGTTATCTCCCACACTGTCTATATTCCTCACAGTGGTCTTCATCATCACCATCACTGTCTATATTCCTCACAGTGGTCTTCATCACCATCACTGTCTATATTCCTCACAGTGGTCTTCATCATCACCATCACTGTCTATATTCCTCACAGTGGTCTTCATCACCATCACTGTCTATATTCCTCACAGTGGTCTTCATCATCATCACTGTTTATATTCCTCACAGTGGTCTTCATCACCATCACTGTCTATATTCCTCACAGTGGTCTTCATCATCATCACTGTCTATATTCCTCACAGTGGTCTTCATCATCATCACTGTTTATATTCCTCACAGTGGTCTTCATCACCATCACTGTTTATATTCCTCACAGTGGTCTTCATCACCATCACTGTTTATATTCCTCACAGTGGTCTTCATCACCATCACTGTCTATATTCCTCACAGTGGTCTTCATCACCATCACTGTCTATATTCCTCACAGTGGTCTTCATCATCACCATCACTGTCTATATTCCTCACAGTGGTCTTCATCACCATCACTGTTTATATTCCTCACAGTGGTCTTCATCACCATCACTGTTTATATTCCTCACAGTGGTCTTCATCATCACCATCACTGTCTATATTCCTCACAGTGGTCTTCATCATCACCATCACTGTCTATATTCCTCACAGTGGTCTTCATCATCACTGTCTATATTCCTCACAGTGGTCTTCATCATCACTGTCTATATTCCTCACAGTGGTCTTCATCACCATCACTGTTTATATTCCTCACAGTGGTCTTCATCACCATCACTGTTTATATTCCTCACAGTGGTCTTCATCATCACCATCACTGTTTATATTCCTCACAGTGGTCTTCATCACCATCACTGTTTATATTCCTCACAGTGGTCTTCATCACCATCACTGTTTATATTCCTCACAGTGGTCTTCATCACCATCACTGTCTATATTCCTCACAGTGGTCTTCATCACCATCACTGTTTATATTCCTCACAGTGGTCTTCATCACCATCACTGTCTATATTCCTCACAGTGGTCTTCATCACCATCACTGTTTATATTTATGATGTCCTATTTATTCTCCTGTGCAGCACTTTGGTTGTTTTTAAAGTGCTTAACAAATAAAGTTGGATTGGATTGGATATGGAATCTGAATCTGAAGGGCACGTTGTCATGAGCTGTATCTTGTATATTTATTATTAGCTATGTGGTATGTGTATGCACCTTTATGTAATCTGGTGGAAGAACATATTAACATTTAAAACCGGATCATACCAAACAAATATCTGCTTGCGTGTCCCCGTGTATGTAAAGTGTGCTCCTTTTGGATGTGAAGGAAATGGCCACCCTAGTATAACTGTGCACAGTAGGTCATGTTTGTTTTGTTGAGCTTGTTGTTCTGTTTATTTGTGCTCAGTCTCAGTATGTACATTGAATACAACGTAAAACGTTTTATTGTCTAAAAACATTGCAACATGCTAAATCTTTTAGAAACGCTGTTGTAGTGAAATCAGTTATTTTAGGTCACAACAGTCCAAAAGACTGGTTCTATCTGTGTCTTACCGAATGGACGGAAACAGAGTCAGAACATTTAGAAGGAACAACCATAACAATGTGCATTTATAAAGGAAAACATCTGGAATATTCTTTCTTCCAGTTGTAAATAATAAATAAGCCGACGTTTGTTGGTTGTGTTGTTGTACTTTAGAAGGTTGGACAATTTATCGTGTTTTAAATGCAGATTAACATCAGAATGAGAAACATTCATGTGAAGACACAAACTACAATATGTAGTCAGAATGAACATTTCAAACAAAACCAGTTCTCAGTTGTGGCCACTGGAGGGAACTCTCTGTCCTTCCAGTGTGTGTGTGTGTGCGTGTGTGTGTGTGTGTGTGTGTGTGTGTGTGTGTGTGTGTGGGGTCATGTGATTTCAGAGAAGTCGACCATGAACGAGGAACTGGAGAAAGCATGACTGATGATGTACAGAGCGCTCGCTGCAGCAGCAGGTAAGAACACTTGTTGAATCTCAGTTAGAAACAAACAACAGGATTAAAGAAATAAGTTTTAATTATTTACAGTGTTTAATATGTTCATATGTTCATTTTAATCTGAGGAGTCTGGAACAAAGAGTTTTCATCTTTCATTCAGACATCCAATCCGGGTCAGATTAATCATTAAACATGAAACCTGATTAACGGTCACTTTGTCCACAATCCAATGAGACTAGACTTCAGATAAGTATCCCAGCATGCATTTCACTTTAACCAGTCACTAAATGACTTCCTGAGATTGTGACACGTGAGAGATCTTTTTTTTGTGACCAACTTTTTTTTACATTTCATTTTCCATTTCATTCATTTACAGACTCTGTATGTTAATGTGTGCACTGTATCTCTGTCGTTGGTCTGAGGGAGTAAACTGACTGTATGTTCTGTATATTTCATATTCTATTGATCAATAACAATAATGAACCCAAACAGTGAACACAGTCACTGCAGGAAGTTTGTTTAACACTATATATATATATATATATTTTTTTATTTTTAATTTTATTTTTAGGGTTAGGGTTTTTAATGTGTGTTTAATGTATGTTTAATGTATGTTTTGTATTTTGTATGCTACTGGATACTTGAATTTCCCTCGGGATAAATAAAGTATCTATCTATCTATAACCATACAGATAATGGTGATCAGAGTGTAATTCACTCTCTGTGGTCGAGTTATGGCCATTGTTACCTCACAGTTGCAGTTGAATTATTGTCTGGGTGAATTAGCTGACATTAACCAATAACGTTATTAGTCTCTCTACTTACCCACCTTATGGATTATATTGATGGTGAACTGACAGACTGTGGGCATATGTCGTGTTTCTAGAGTTACGTGTTTTTATGGAAATTTTTAAAATGGGACATTTCTGAAAGGGACTTTGGTGCACAGCCACAGCCCGTTCACCCTGCCAAGAGATACAGAAGTATCTGCTGCCGATTACAGTAGACGCAACAATCGAGCTGCAGGCCTCATAAAGCTGAGTTGATTAATGAGAGAAAGCAAGAGAGATTGAACTAATGTAAATTAAAAATGCATTCAGGGAAGACAAAGAGAAAATGTTAACAGTATACAATGTTTATTTTTGTCTCTATAATCGACCTCTTATTGTTCAGTGTACTATCTTCTGACTTTAGTAACACAAGACAGGAGGTTTGGACAGCAGCAGGCAGGAACCCTAACCCAGGTAAGTAATGACAACCAATGACAGATCTTCCAAGTGATAAACTAAAACTTTATAAAATAAGACTTTACAGTGTTGGGGTTTTTTGTTTTGTTTAAACAGATGCAATTCCAGATGTCTGTACATCATTGCTGTGTGAAGACGGGTGAAAAGAAGAAGTTGCAGGTGAGAAATAAATAACTTTCATTTTCATTTTTTTGGACCACTTTCATATGCAGTCCAAATCAGATTCAGGTCTGATTCTTTGCAATGTGAACAGCAATATCACAGTTTATGTGCCTTTTATGTGCCTCTATGTGTGTCACTTCAGTACGACGGATTATTAGGGCCATACTAAGAGAAAAAATTATAATTTTTTGGTGGAAATTATGAGAATAAAGTCATAATATTAGGTCTACGAGAATAAAGTCGTAACATTACGAGAATAAAGTCATAAATTGCGAGAATAAAGTCATAACTGTTTAACGACGAAATGATCAATACGTTAGTGTACCTGTTGACTGTACGGTAGGACTGAGACAAACAGCGGCTGCTGGGCTCAGGCTGAGGCTGCTGATTGGTTGAGCTGCTCACGTCAGAACTCTATCGAAGCTTTTTTTCTCATTAAAACAACTTTTTTTCTCGTATTATTACGACTTTATTCTCATAACATTACAACTTTATTCTCGTAATATTATGACTTTAATCTCGTAATCCCCCCCCCCACAAGAAAATCTTAGTCTGGCCCTAATACTCCGTCGTACTTCAGGGAGGGACATCTCCCACCATGCACTTATGGTGTCCCTATTAACTGAGCCTGCCAGACTGGGAGCTCCCAGTGAACAGCACCACCAGACTGTGATGAAGTTGTGTTTTTATACAGTAATCAGTGCAGTCCCGCCCCCAGAAACACTCAGAACACAAATGAATCTTCGCTCTGTGTCACTAAAAGTTGAAGCATGCATTATATTCTGTTTTAGGGGAAGAAACATTTATTGCATTTCAATATAAAAATACAAAGAAATGGATTTGATTGTTAATGTTTTGCCATACATAAACAGGGGTTCATTACAACTGGATGTAATCTTATAGAGTTAAAAAGTCCTTTTTCATGTTATCAAAGACGTTGTACTAACTGTACTATCTGAGCGGAGTCGTTTGTTGATTTAAAAGCAATCTTTTATTGATTGAAACTGTTGAATAATTGGCACCTTATTTTTTTGGGTTGGTTCATAAAGTCATTTAAATTTATGTTTTAAATCTTTCAGGAAAACACAAACATCACCACCTAACCGCTGAATAAATCATCAGAAATGGGGAACCACATAGAGCGACCAAGAGAAAGGAACATGGGCGACAGGCTGAGGTGCTGCAGGTGTGATAAAGTCCTGCGTCCATTACGTTCATTCTCAAATTTATGCCAAAAGACGATTTATGGGCGGAGAGTACACGAGTTCTTTAGAGGAGAATACTACAGACCGGTTACCAACTACAACTACGAGTGTGGATCCTGCTTTCATAGGTCATTCAGGGAGGAGGAAATTAGGAGAGAGGAGGAGAGGAGGAGAGAGGAGGAGAGGAGGAGAGAGGAGGAGAGGAGGCGAGAAGAGGAGGAGAGGAGGACAGAAGAGGAGCGACAGAGGAGAGAGGAAGAGAGGAGGCGAGAAGAGGAGCGACAGAGGAGAGCAGAGGAGAGGAGGAGAGAGGAGGAGATGAGGAGAGAGGAGGAGAGGAGGAGAGAGGAGGAGAGGAGGCGAGAAGAGGAGGAGAGGAGGACAGAGGAGGAGCGACAGAGGAGAGAGGAAGAGAGGAGGCGAGAAGAGGAGCGACAGAGGAGAGCAGAGGAGAGGAGGAGAGAAGAAGAGCGACAGAGGAGAGAGGAGGAGATGAGGAGAGATGAGGAGAGGAGGAGAAAAGAGGAGCAACAGAGGAGAGAGGAGGAGAGGAGGCGAGAAGAGGAGGAGAGGAAGAGAGAGGAGGAGCGACAGAGGAGAGAGGAGATGAGGAGAGAGGAGGAGAGGAGGAAGAGAAAAGAGGAGCAACAGAGGAGAGAGGAAGAGAGGAGGCGAGAAGAGGAGCGACAGAGGAGAGAGGAAGAGAGGAGGAGAGAGGAGGAGAGGAGGAGGAGAAAAGAGCAGCAACAGAGGAGAGAGGAAGAGAGGAGGAGAGAGGAGGAGCGACAGAGGAGAAGAGAAGAAAAGAGACAGAGGAGAAAGGAGGAGAGGAGGAGAGAAAAAGAGAGACAGATGAAAGAGGAGGAGATGAGAAGAAAAGAGGAAAGACTGAGGAGAGAGGAGGAGAGGAGGAGAGAAGAGGAGCGACAGAGGAGAAGAGAAGAAAAGAGACAGAGGAGAGAGGAGGAGAGGAGAAGAGAAAGGGAGACACAGATGAGAGAGAAGGAGCAGAAGAGAGAAGAGGAAAGACAGGGTAGGGAGGAGAGGCAGAGGAGAAGAGAAGAGGATCAACAGAAGAGAGAGGAGGAGAGGAGGAGAGAAGAGGAAAGACAGGGTAGGGAGGAGAGGCAGAGGAGAAGAGAAGAGCAGCGACAGAAGAGAGAGGAGGAGGAGAGGAGAGAGGCTGAAGAGAAGCAGAGAGAAGAAGAATTGAATCAAAGACTACAGGAATCAAACCAACGAGCCAAAGAGCAGCACGAGAAACAACTGAGCCACATTTCAGAGGAATGTGAGTCCAGGACAGATGTTCTAATCAGACATCAGGATGAGTTTGAGGATAACTGTGACTCAGACAGCGACAAGCTTCTACAAATCCTCTCTTTGAAATGCCAGTTCCCAGTTCCAGATCTCAGTCTCACTCAGCTGACAGATGATCAGCTGGGGAAGATCCTGTCAGTACTGGACCAGCTCCTGTTTGATGAATGGATCCGTGCTCCCCCGTCCATCAGCACTCTGCAGCACACTCAGGTCTTCATCACAGAGCTGTGTGTCCTGTCTCTGGACACATCCCAGGAAGTTTCACTACAAAACATCTCCAATGGTGTGCAGTCCCTGGTGGAGTCTATCAGCCAGTCAGCATCTAATGTTTCTGAGAGTTTCCTGCTGACTCAAGCCCTGTATCTCAACCTGATGCACTTTCTCAAGGATTATGGCAGCCCTGATACTGATGCAGTCCTCATAGCCAAACACTGGGCTGAAGATGAGCTTTCCACTGAGAACCTCTCTTTTATACAGTTCCTGAGCACCCTCACATCATCACTGCAGAGTGTCGTTGAAAGAGCCTCTGTGTTCATTTTGAAGATAGAGATCCAGTGCTTGAAGCTCCTCTTATCCACACTTACTCATCTGAATGGAAAGGAAGCCCACTCAGAGTCCACTCAGATGCTCCTCAGACTTGTGCAAACACACCAATGGACCCCAATGGAGGCATTAACCCTGCTCAGAGCCCTATCACAGAACTACGTTGACGATGTTTCAATAACTGAAGTCCTTACGATGGTACAAGTGCATGATTTATCCCCACAGTGGATGGATGAGTCTGGTAGCTCTCTCACTTTGGCTCTGGACGCTGGCCCTGAAAGATTCCATCAAGATTTCCAAAAGACTCTCAGAAAGACAGATGAGAGTAATCTAGTTGCGGCTCTAGAAGAAATAAAAATGTCATGGGATTTGGATGATTCAGTGATTGATATGATAAAAAACATCACCACTGGTGTCCTGCAATATTCAGAGAATGCACCAAAAGACGCCCCATTAATGAAAGATTCATTTGAATGTGTAACATTGGATGTAGACCACATACAGAAGTCTCTGTGCCAGCTCTGTAAAGCAGTGTTTGACACAAAAGGCTGGTGGCCCACAGTGAGGCAGATGCTGCGGTGGTGTGCGTTGGTGCTGACTCAGAAGAGTGGAGCTCTACAGCTGGTTGGTGTGGAAGAAGACCCGTGTGTCACAGCCATGTTTGCAGCCACACGAGTGTGCATGGGAAACAAAGTGGACATCGTGCTGAGCTCTGACGTTCACTCAGAGGAGCGAACTGAGGACTGGTCTGACTTCTACAAGAACCTTGGAATTTCTCTCAACACAAACATGAAGAAAAGGAATGAATCACACAGGGATGTCTATGAAGCGGACATTGTGTACGGTACCATCAATGACTTTGTCTCTGATTACTTTCAATACGGCGCAGAGGTGATGGAGGCAGGGAACCCGCTGCTCAGTCGTGGATTTATCATTGAAGAACAAAGTCTCAGTTGTTCCTATAATCTGGAACTTTTAAGGTTCAAGGACAATGATTTCCTGGTGTTTGCTGCAGAAGTCCTGCAGAACCTCATGGGTAAATTTCACAGTGAAGATATGGAACTGAGACAGAGGTTTTTTAAGGCTCTTTTTCAGTTGCTGCACACCAACCTCAACAAAGACACAAACACTGACAATAAAATCATCACCATCTTGAAGACAATATCTGGACAGGGACTGCCTTCTAATGAGGTCTTCATTCTGACCTTCCTGGAGAATCTCCTTAAAGTGGTCACTGAAGAAACAGAAAGTGAGAAAAACAAGACATCTCCTGCAGGCAGATGGTGTCTGGAGATATTATTTGCCTGTGCTGAGAATTTCCAAGCATCAACTACTACAAAAGAACTCTTCCAGATAGTTTTGAATCTTGACAAACAAAGACTGTGGTCACCAGTAGAGACCTTAATTCTCCTTGTCACATTAACTGACCACCATAACGATAAAGACTGTATCGCCATCTTGAAGATTTTACATTTATTGGAAACATATCAGGTTTCTTCCAAGTGGACAGATAAGAACAACAAATCTCTCCTTAAGCTCCTGGATTCATATAGAACTAAAACTCTGATCAAGCATTTACGAAAGAGCCTTAGAGATGAGAAAGAAAAGGGCATTGAGATTCTTGTTGATGAAATACGGCAGATGAAAGACATTGATGAACAAACACTGAGTAAATCATACAGTGTAGTAACTCATGTAACAAACCTGATCAAAACCGGTGAAATCAAAAAGCACACAGATGTACAGCGAGCTAGGAGTTTGAGTCACAGCACAGACCCAGAAGACCTTCAGGAAGTCCTGGCAGTCTTATGCAATGCTGTACACCTGCACAGGGCTGAAGGGAAGTGGTGGCCCAGAGCCACTCAGATGATAAGCTGGTGCCTCTTGACCTTGTCTGACTCTGGGAAGCTCCTGGAAATGGGCACTGGAGAAGGAAAGTCTTGTGTCATAGCAATGTTTGCAGTGCTGCATGTGCTTAGGGGTGAAAAGGTAGACGTGGTGTCCAGCTCTTCTGTGTTATGTCAAAGAGATGCAGAAGAATGGACCAACTTCTACAAGTACTTTGACATATCAGCTGACACAAACACAAACAAAAGTAAAGATAGTGATCGAAAAGAATGCTACCAGAAGAACGTGGTCTATGGAACTATTGAGGCCTTCGCTGCAGATCATCTTCGCCAGATATTTGAGATGAAGGATGTCAGGCCTGATCGCAACTATCAGTGCATCTTAATCGATGAAGTGGACTCACTGCTGCTGGATCAGGGAGTGCAACTGACCTACCTGTCCAGCCCCATGGTCTCAATGCAGCACCTGAATGTTATTCTGGCCATGATCTGGGGCCACGTCAGCCAGTATGGCTTCCTGTCCACAGGACGCCAGACATTTGTTCAGGGTCCTCCTGCTTCATTTTTCAAGGCCATCTTTGACTCAATAGACACAGAAGAAACAAAAATTAATGATCCAATGGAAATTTTACATTTAGCTGAAAAATGCAACAAGGTGCCAAAAGGATTTACAGAGGACTTCTACCAAAGTAAAAAGGATGAACTTCTGATGAAACTGAAAACTGTGAGTCAGGATGCTGTGGTGGATTTTTTCCAAGAATTTGAGCAGTATGTCCCCCACGGTTTTACTGTTTATACTTTGGATGATAAGGGATTACTCAGTCTTAGAAAGTGCAGCCCATACAACAACCAGGACATTCAAGAACTCACATTTCTTGTCCTGGAGGAAGGCCTGTGCTGTCCTCTCTATGATTCAGAAGAAATTCTCATCAAGTCCATTGCAGAATTAATCTCAGAGAGACTTCAGTACACCCCATGTACAAACAATAAAGACAAAATTAGCATTCCTGGTTTCTTGAAGAATCTGGTGGAGAAGAAAGTGTCAGTGTGGGTTCAGAATGCCTTTCTGGCAATGCAACTGACGGAGGGACGGGAATATGTTGTTGAAAACGACAATGTCTGTCCTGTGGATTTCAGATCCACTGGCATTGTGGAGCTGAATAAGAAATGGGGTGATGGTCTGCAGCAGTTTGTTGAAATTAAACACCAAATCAAACTGAGCACAATTTCAGTAGTGACAAACTACATTTCTAATGTCTCCTTTTTTGAAAAGTATAATGGGAAGATATACGGAACAACTGGGACACTTGGCAGAAAAACAGACATTCTGTTTTTACAGGACCTATATCCAAATCTCTCTACCTGCAAAATGCCAGCATTCAACAAGAATAAGTTATTTGAGGTCAAAGGAGCTCTGAAGACCTCAGCTGAAGAGTGGAAATCTGAAATAAAACATGTGATTATGGCTCAGATTTCCCCAAATTCATACAGAGATGGAAGAGCAGCCCTGGTGATCTGTGAGACTATCAACAAAGCCAAAGAGATCTACGAAGAGCTGAAAAGCAGCATCCCAGGTGAAATCATTCTCTACTGCCGCAGTGACAATGAGAGTCTGACCAAAATAAATAAGGAACTGCTTCCTGGTGATGTCATTGTTGCAACAAACCTTGCCGGGCGTGGCACAGATATAAAAGTATCCAAACAGGTGAACAACAATGGAGGATTATTTGTGATCCTCTCCTTCATTTCTGAGAACACAAGAGTGGAACTTCAGGCTTTTGGTCGAACTGCACGTAAAGGTAAACCTGGATCTGCTCAGATAATCATGTCCACTGAATACCTGCAGCAGTCTTTCAGGACAGTGCCTTCTGTGGAGGAAGCTAAGAGCATGAGGGATAGACTTGCAACAGAAAAGACAAATCACATGATGAACGATGTCAATGAGTTGAGACTAAGGGAGGACCTGTTTTCAGAGTACTGCAAAACTCTTCAAGATATTCATGAGAACACAGATGGAGATGACAGAAGAGCTGTTGTTGCCACCATGAATGACTTCTGGGGGATTTGGCTGCAAATTAAATCAGAAGAAATTGAACAGTTGAAGAGAGAAGAATTGCAAAAGAGTTTGAAAGATGATTTGTCATGGGCAAAAAGTCAGTCTCAGAATAAGACTTCACCGTGTTCCAGCATTTATCACTACATCAAGTTTGGAAATATCGCACTGAGTGAAAACCAATGGGACATCAGCAGAAGGCTCTTTGAAAAAGCCATGAAACAAGATGAAAGTTGGGCAGCTATAGCTTTCTACAATCATGCATACTGCACTATAAAGGAGCAGAATAGTGATTACCTCACTCAGGCAAGAGATGATCTAAGGAAGGCACAGGAGTCTCTGAAGTGTCTTAGTGAAGAGTTAATGGTCTGTCTGCAGCTTGTAAAAATGTCCTCTGTTGACTCAGCCAACAGCAACTGCACCAGCCTTGAAAAACAGTTCACAACCAAGTGCACAATGTTAGGTTACATTGACAAAAACATTAGTGAGGCCCTCCAAAAGCTGGATGAAATAAACGAAAAAGGTCGAGATGCAGTGGCCAATAAATCAATAATTTTTGTCCTGGTGTCGAGTGCTGATGATGATGATCTCCGTGAGGGAGCCTACAACCTCTACAGTCAGGGTCTGAAATATGTATTTTCTGTGGAAGAGGAGCCTCGTTTCCCATGGGAAGCTCTTCTAGTGTTCGGCCTTGGAGTTTTACAGATTATTGGAGGAACATTGCTCACTGCATTTACGTTTGGTACATTTGCTCAAATCGGCATGGCACTCATCAGTGAAGGAATATCCGACTGCATCTATAGCATAGAGGCCATGGTGACAGGAGAATTCAGCTGGAAATCATGGGCTATACATAAAGCCATTTCTATTGGTGTGTCTCTCCTTGCGTTTGGAGTTGGAAAGTTGATTTCGAAGGGCTTCAAAGCTTGTAAAGTGTCCATTACAGGATTTGGCAAAGAGCTGAAGTTGATCCCAAAGTTTCTCTCCAACCAGGCTAAAGCTGGTTTAAGTGTTATGACAAAGACAATTATGAAGACTGCAGTACAACACACTGCTAAAATAATGGTTGAGGAAATCATTATGTATGGAATGGGGAAGGTAGAAAGTAAAATCCTGACAGAAATACTAGACAGCATCAGAAATGAGGTGAAAAAAAGAATTTATGACAACATGAAATCCAACTTGGAAAAAGAACCCTTGGCTACATCGGTAGATCTTGTTATCCTCTCACACATTGAGGATGAAAAGCAACTTCATGATCTCCTGAAGGACAAGAACAGAAAGCGTGAACTGCTGGGCATTTTCAGAGCATTAAGCAACACTGCAGTACAGCCCTTCTATGCAGACCTCAGCTGGCAGAACAAGCTTAGTTCATCCTTCTCCACAGTGATTAACAGGGCTAAAGCAGAGGCCAGAGGAAAAACACGTGGAATTCTGACAGCCATCCAACTTACCCACATGGGGGTGTTGGCAAGAGACGCCATAAATGCAGTGCTCAACCTCTCCAGCAAGTTTTTCTCAAACCTTCATGAACAGCTGAATTCATTTAAAAAAGAAAATGGTTTTTCAGAGAAAGTGAAAGTAAATGAGCTCTCTGATTCAGATACTGAGCCACTTAGAGAATTCAAGCAGGATTTAGCCGACACCATCAGTGATTTACTGGCTGATGCTTTGGTACAAGTGTTCCACCAGAAGTTCTCCAGTCATGTTGTTTCTCATGTTCAAAACAAAGTAAATGGCATCATTCGGAGTTATGTAAGAACAGGCTTAAAGAGTGAAAGAACAGAGGAAAAACTCAGAGCTGGACAGAACAACAGATACATTGCATACATGCCAGTAGTCCCAAATTCTGAACATGAACGTGCAGGAGAGAGAGGTGAACACTCACAGTCACATGCTGAAAAGATCAGAGACGCCACGACTGTGGGAACCATTCTCGATATCAGAGTCCTGGCAGAAACCACTGGCACTAAGGTTGTCATCCTAACAGAGGATAGCCAAGGAAGTCTTACCAAAATACAGGAGCTGAACCCTGGCACCGAACCCGGCAGTCAAACCGTGACATTGATCCACAGACCAAAGAGTGCCCAATACCCAGATGGCCATTATGATGTGTGCATCAATAATCAGACAGTGAACATAGTCAGCGAGGGAAAGGGCTGCCTGTTTCATGCTTGGGCACAAAGCATGAAACCAGAGGCCAGTGAAGAAGAGATCGCTCAGGAAGCATATGACCTCCGATCTGTGGTGGCCGACACTCTCCTGAGACACACAGGTCGATGGGAGCCTTTCGTTAAGCGCAAAGACTGGACTGAAGAGATCCGAGGAGGGGACTGGTACATGCTACAGGGAGCTGCAAAAAAGCTCAAAAAGATAAAAGAAAGTGAAGCGCTACTTGATGAAATGGTTGGAACAATTGTACCATACAAAGACTGGATAAAACATACAAAACAAAATCCAGGAATTGGACAATTCATCAATGCAGATCACCAGCCAGCAGTGAGTTGTATGTTAGAAGCTAGAAAACTGAACCAGAACAGCAGATTAGCAGAAGCAATGCTTGAAGTAGCAACAGACTCTTCTCCTCTGGATAACAACCTGATTCCTGATGTGCACAAATATCACGGTGCTGGACTCCCTACTGTTCTTGTGCCTAAAGAATTACATCGTGAGTTTCCCAGTACAACATCTAAAGACTTTAGAAACTGTTTAGCTATCGCCATAAGCAAAGATGATGTTGTGGGCACCTTCAAACTGATGATTATTGGCTCTATGCCGAGATCTGAGTTGGATGGCACCAAGAACTTCAACAACTTTCAGAATACCAAGATGAGTAAAACCAGACTTGCCAGTTTTGGGAATAGTTTTCAGCCACACAGTACAGAGATGGTAGAGGGATGGTCTAATAAGCTTCAACCCAAGGGAGTCATGACAGATACAGATCTTACCACCATTACTGAATGGATCAACCAGAAGGGCTACAATGATCAAAACGATCCACACAGGAAACAAGTCTCCAACCTCCTATAATGAAGAGGTTCATTATGTTCATCATGTTTGTAGTATTAGAATAGTTCAAAAAGGGAGGCGCATTGAGTAAACCCATATGTTTATAGAGCAGTTCTGCCCACTATGGCAGGAGGCCCATATTGGTGAGGGAGCAATGGACAATGGAGGGCAAGAATCAGTGTTGATTTCCTTATATTTTTAGGAACTTTTTATACAGTATCGGTATCATATCAAATTTAAAACCATTGGTATCACCCATCCCTCGTGCAAAGGTTTGAACGGTTGTGACATGTGGAAATGTAGTCCTGTCCATAAAGAATCATACTGTAAATATTGATGTTGTATGTAAAGACCTATCACTGGAACTAGTGATCGTTTTAACCTTTAACAAGTCTTAGATTGATCCAGTGAAACCACTCCTTGCCTTGACTCAAACCTGACGGCAGGATGCTGCTGTGGTTGTATGCATTACACTGTTAATACCTGTGTGTGAGGTTGTGCTGCGTGGCTTTGTTTGTATTGTTCTTAAATAATAAATGAACGTTCACACTGATATCGCTCTGAACTCAGTGGCTGATTCTTTCAAACACTATTACACTGATAAAATGTTTCTGCTCATTTTCAGTAAAACTTTAAAGCTATAAGAAAGTGGTGGAGACGGGCAGTGCCTGGTCGCCAGCGTTTGAATGGGGACACTTTGTCTTATGTCACATGATACAACAGAATTTAATACGTTCTCACAGGCTATGGACACAGAGAGTACGTGGTCAATGTGTGACCTATACAAGGGCTTTCTACTGTCAAAGGTTTACACATAATCCCCAATGAAAACAAATGCATGGCAGAATAACACATCGCAGTCCCTCCAGGTAGCTCAACCTGTGAATTCTTGCAATTTTGTCCAATCACTGCAACATTTTTTGCAAATTTGCCGTCGTAGTTACCTGCACTACATGTTGAATCACCAAACTCGAAGACACAAACGTCTCACACTGACTCTCCAACTTCCTACAGCAGATGTCTATGTGACAGTGCTGTAGCTAAATTTAAGGAGGAGATTCCTTCAGTGTTCAATTCAATGCCATGTCTGAATTTAACAGAATCCTATAACGACTTTAGTCCCTCTGAAATTGATAATCTTGTTGATAGTGCTGCAGGCTCACTACGATCAACATTAGACTCTATCACTCCTATAAAAAGGAAATTATCAAAACATAGGAGACTAGAACCTTGGTACAACCACCAAACCCGCCAGTTAAAGCAAATAGCTAGGAAATCTGAAAGGAAAGGGCG